TTGCAATTGCAGGGGTTCACAAGCTTACTGTTTGTGGAGGTGGCACTGCTACCCTTATTTCTGTGCTGCTGCTGGCTGTGGCGCTGCAGTCAGAGCTGGGTGGACAGAGAGTAAAAGCTGCTGGCTAGGGCTTTGTCTACACTGCTGGCTTTTGCTGGCAGAGCATGCAAATGAAGTGCTGATTAGCATTTTGTCACTTCACTTGCATAATCTGAAGGCTCTTGCACAAAAAGGGGTTTTTGCACAAAAAGGAAACGCCCACACTGCTTGTTTTTGCGCAAAAACAGCTCGAGTAGATTATGCAAATGATGCACAACAAAATGCTAATCAGCACTTCATTTGCATACCCTCTGCTGGCAGTGTAGACATAGCCTAGGAGTCCAGCTCTGAAGGCAGAGCCACACCACCAGCAGCATCACAGGAAGATGGCATGGTATGGCCACCCTTATTTCTGCATTACTGTCTGCAGAGTTGCATCTTTAGCAACCACCACTCTCTAGCCATCCAGCTCTGAAGACAGCAATGCAGAAGGAAGGGTGGCATGATATGGTATTGCCACCTTACTTGTGCCCAGGTGCTGGTAGGGCGTTGCCTTCAGAGCTGGGTGGCCAGAGAATAGGCACCATTGGCCAGGTTCCCAGCTCTGAAGGCAGCACAGAAGTATAGCTATCCAAATCATGACTCCCTTGCAACTCCCTTTTGGGTCAGTACTCCTAGTTTGAGGAATGCTGGTCTCTCCCATAAAGACTGTATAGTATAGGATAAAAGCACCCAGACAACCAGATTTCACAGTCTATTACACATTTTTCATGATTAGCTGATAAGTGAAAGTGCTCAGAAGGAGCTAGCCCGCTGCGGCTCTGCAGTTTAAATGCAGTAAGAGCAGCTGGGTTGCGCCTGGACCCAGCTCGCATCATGTCCAGCAGCCCCTGTCTGCAGGGGGTCCCAGCTCCCCACAGGGACCCCTAGCGCATAGAAGCTGCTATGGAGCAGCCTCTGTTCACAGCAGCCAGGCTGGCCGTGGACAGGAGCTGTTGCCAGAGCAGCTCATGTTCATGGCCAGATCCACTTGCCGCAGAGGCCACTCTGGCAACAGCCCCTGTCCGCAGTGGCTGGCCACAAACAGGGGCTGCTTCACCGCAGCAGCTCCTGTCTGCAGGGGGTCCCAAACCCCGGCTGGGACTCCTGCAGCCAGGGGCTTCTGCCGGAGCAGCCTCCCACGCGCCTCCCACACTGCTGCATCTGATAGAGGCAGCAGTGTGTGGGGGGAGAAGCAGCAATGCAGAGACTTTGCTGGAAGGAACCAGCTTTTAAGCCGGCTCGCCCCAATACCAGCTCCTGCTTCCCCCCACCATTCTGCCTAGGCTTATCGGGTAGTTGACTAATCGACTACTCTTTTACATCCCTAATTTATACACAAGTTTTTTTTTTAATTATTTGTGTCACCCACTCAATCATTGATCAGAAGACATGTTCTGAACTGAAAACTTACAAATAAATCAAGTGTATTTGGTATGCAATACAATTCCTAGTGACAATGGTATAAAATTCTGCTCAACGGAACATTATCAATTACTCATTCCTAAAGTCTCCTGTAGTGATAGCTCTGCACCTCTTTACAGGTCCATGCCTCTTTCCTTAGCAAGGGCATGTCTATATACCACAAACGTAAGTTGATTCTAAGTTGACATACAGCCTTTGCAGTAATTAAGTTGGCTGTATACGTCCACACCACACTGCTTGTGCCAATGGAGTGTATCCTCACTAGCAGCACTGCAGAGAGCAGTGCACTGTGGGTAGCTATCCTGTAGTACAACTAGTCAGTCACTACTTTGTTTGATTTTAAAATAGAGCGTTTCAGATAAATTAGTGCATTTTTATCAGTTCTACTGCCTATAGTTAGAGACCTGCATAGATGCAAAATGTGTATCTGCAAAAATGAGCCACGGATATCTGCATCCATATCCATGGATGAGGCTGTGGATATAAAGTAGATGTCTGTGGATTTGCAGGGCCTTACCTATAGGCTGCTTTATTTCAGCTGTCTTCAACTCTTATTCTCATCTTTTCCAATTATTATGGGTTGTGCTATACACACTTCTGTAAATCAGGAATTGAAAACTTCAATAGAAATCTACCAGGCAAAATCAAAATGAAATGTTTATGGAGGTCCACCAGCCTGGTAAATAGACAACAGCTTTCCCAAACAATAGCTGAGTTGTCCCTTTCACTGCTATTCACCAGGTTCTAAAGAAAACAGTGAAACCAACCACAGTCCTGTTAATTTTACCCTTGAGCTGCTTGGAAAGACTCTCGCCAGCAGCAGAAGTACTAGAGCCATTTGCATGCAAAATGGTAAGTGGATAGGAAAAAGGTTTCAGAGGGGTAGTTGTGTTAGTCTGTAACTTTAAAAACAATGACTTATGTGGCACCTTAGAGACTAACAAAAATACATAGAATCATGAGCTTTCATGGGTAAAACCCACTCCATCAGATGAGTTGGAGTTGACATTCAGTTCTCCCTTGGAAGATGATCTTTCTGTAACCCACATCCATTCAGTGTGACACGCTGTCCCCATCTAGCGTTGGCTGGGCTACACATACTGAGCTTGATGATCCTGCTAGTAGATGCTCATGTTTTATGATTCAGAGATCAATCACTGCCGCTGCCAACACACCCAGGGGAGTAGCATTAAAAGTGATGATTGTATGAGACTTCGAATCGGGTAGACTTGTGAAGTTTGGGAGGAACTTCCCCAAACCAGGGTATTACATTAAAAAAAGTTAAAAATATAAAAAAATTTGCAGCTGTGTTTGACCTACTTTCACCAGCCATTTATAGCTTTGCACTTACTCATGAGTCAATGAATGGATTTTCAAAGTCATGCTATTACTGTTTTTAAAATTTGTAAATATTATACAAGTCTGTTAAAGATTTTAATAATACATTTTACAAGAGGCTCAATATAGCCTTTAACCAAAACTGAACACAAAAACCCACACAAGAGTCAAACTAAAAGAAACCGATACAGAAATTCTACTGTACAGTAAGTCACAACAAAGGGCATTTTCATTCCTGTGACTTTTAATAGTAACAAGTTCTGCAGACATTTAGAACTGATGGGAAAAAAATCATGGCTATTTTCCTTCCTCATCTGACAACCAGTTTGTGTGTGGGTTTTACTCCATTCCCCATAAAGCAACATTGCAGAAGAATTGACAAGCTATGTGCTACCCTCATTCTCTGAGGATCTCCCATATTTTTCCACTATTAACTTTTCTCTCTCACAGGGCTGACCACACTTCTGGGTGCTAGTCAAGCAAGAGGACCAGAGAGGGCTTTGTAAATTATAGCCCCATTTACACCAAGAATATTTTCTATGCATTCCCCACCCACTGATTATATCAGTTCTGCTCCACTCCTGATTGCAGCTTTGGATGTCACAGACGGCCTGCCAACATTTTTAACACTGCACTGATCAAACCTCTTCTTAGCAGAGATATATAACATGGTGTTAAGAACACATATTGCCCAATCTGCACTAGGACACTGTTGCTAACAGAAGAGTTGAATCAATGTTGGCACCCATTAAAAGTTTTAGAAAATTTCCCTTTTGTAGACAGGGCCCTTAAGCTGTTGTCTCTATCAACTCCCTTGCTTCAAAAGAATACAGCTCATATCCTGAAGCAGCAGTTTTAATGCAGGCCTACAAGATAATTCAGAACTATCTGAAGAATATCTTCAGGAAGAGTATTGTCTTCAGACTGAGTCACAGCTAGGTTAGCTTCCTAAACTATCCCTTTCATATCCCACCAGCTACAGAACTCCTAAGCTAATGTGCTAGAAGAGACCAAGAATCAGTATTGAAGAACAGTGATAGAGATGTAGCCGTGTTAGTCTGGGGTAGCTGAAGCAAAATGCAGGACAATGTAGCACTTTAAAGACTAACAAGATGGTTTATTAGATGATGAGCTTTCGTGGGCCAGACCCACTTCCTCAGATCAAATAGTGGAAGAAAATAGTCACAACCATATATACCATGGTACATATGGTATATATGGTTGTGACTATTTTCTTCCACTATTTGATCTGAGGAAGTGGGTCTGGCCCACGAAAGCTCATCATCTAATAAACCATCTTGTTAGTCTTTAAAGTGCTACATTTTATTGAAGAACACACACACACAAAGACGGGGGGGAAGGGCGGGCAGAAGAGAACTAATTCTTCCACCACCAAAATGCAGCCACCTCTGGGCTGAGAAGGCAGCAATCAGGCAGACAACAGCTTCATACCAATGTGCCACAATTCCACTCTCAAAAAACTCTCACCAACAAAAGCAGCCAGCTTCACAAAACAGGCAAAACTTTTTACACGCCCAAGCAGGCACGTCACCAGCTGTGTGGGCACCTTGGGGGAGAGGGGTGGGGGAGGAAGAAGGGTTCTTTGGAGAAAAACAAACAAACCCAGCCGTCAATCTTCCACCCAAGTCACCCTCCTCCGTCCAACAAACCCCCAAATCTGTTCACAGGCCTCTTCTCTCTACTTTCGGGTGCTACAGAAAAGCCTTCGCCCCATTATCAACGCACGTCCTATGCTAATCAGAGCTATACCGCAGGGATCCTGGCAGGCTCCACGGGCTCTCCCGCTCTTTGCCCTTCTCTGGCAGCCAAGCCCTTGAACAGCCCCCCCCCCCCAGCTCAGGGGGTGCCCCCCACAGGGCCAGGCAGGGGCCCACACGCTTGGCAGTGAGGGAGACTCTGCTCCAGCGCCACCCCCAGGCAGAGAGATGGAAGCAGCCAGCCCCCCAGCCCCGAGCGGACAGGCCGAGCCCGCCCCCCAGGCCAGGCCTAGGCGGGGGGGAGCCCCAGGCAGCGCCCCCAATGGCTCATTATATGGCAGGGAGCAGGGCCCAACACAGCCGCGCGGGT